CTTCTCAGTATTAACTATTTCCCTTTGGCGTAGCACTTAGTGATAGACGACACACTTAGTATCCCACTAAGCAGAAAGCATAAGTATTTTTGTGTGTAGGCCTTGTTCAGGAATGGATTCTCCTTTCTCAGTGAGAGATAACCATTGTCGTTTTCGTTTCGTTTTACAGAGAACCTAATTTTTATCACTAGCGATGATTCTATCCAGGAAAGGTTCGATAGTAAATGACAAGTAGAGGTCAACTTCTTGATTAAGCTGAGGAGTCAGATGATGAGAGACCCATTAACTAGGTTAATTTTTTTCGAGTTCATGAAAGTGTTTTATGATCAAAGTGTGACATGTATTGAGATGTTTTGCTAATTCTTGTGCAGTTTGCTTAGGACTCTCTTCAACTAACGATTTGCAGAAGATAAATATTAACAGAAATCAGTCGTACATATTGAGGGGAAGCTTCGAGAGAAAAATTTACTGATCGAAACTGACCGTTGAATCGTTGGCATGACCGGATAATTATAGCTTCATTTTCATAGATTGAACAAATATTACTTGCTGCTTCTACTCCTAAGGAAGTCTTTTTGAATTCATTCAGCACGAAGTATGTGATATGGATCTAAACTATATACATTTTAAAAGGGTAAATTCGCCACATACATAATTTACTCACACTGTATTATATGACACTATGTGACACTAGTGGAATTGAAGTGGTTAATGTAAAAATGTGAGCTAGGAATATGAGAGGGGAGGAAGAGAGAATATTGAGAGACTGGCTTGCAGGAGGAAATCGCTAAGGCATATTCCAGGTTATTCGCTAAACGTGGGAATTAAAAACAGAACTGAGAAAAGTTGAATTATGGCCATCAACACAAATGGAAGTTACTATTGCAGGCCAAAGGGCCACTTGAAATATAATTGTGGAAATATAAACAACTCGGGAAACGAAACTTAATGTCACCCGAAAAGGAAATTGAAATGAGAAACGAACATGTAAGGTTTGTCTGCATGATAACCCGAGGTCTGTGGGAGCGGAATGGCTGGTTGGGGTACACTAGAACAAACCAAACAAAAGACTGGGAAATAATATTTGTTATGGAAAATCAATGATTAAAATAAACCACCCCTTTGCCACCCGGTTTAAAAATCAGAATTGTCAAAAAGACACTCAAAACCTCACCGTGGGAGTAGTCTCAGATGGAATACCAAGAGAGAAGGAGAAAGGGGGAAAATTAACCTTCGCCCATTTGGAAGTAATGGTGCGGGCATAAATAAGAGAAAGCATAAGTTTTAAAGGCGGAACAATACCTGCAACTAAATTCGTTCTTCATTGCTCTGAGATCAAAGTAGACAGAATGGGCAGATTGGTGTGTGTCAAAACGGCCAGTGACCAACAACCAGTTGACCGACGACAGTACTGGCCAGCGTAGGATTGACCCTGTGATTGACTCGTCGTCCTACAACCTTGAGAACCAGATCGCGAGTATGGTTACATGTGGTATAGGCTGCTTATCTGATTGCTGCAACCCAGGTTTGATTCAGGATCGACCGGGGCGTGCGTGTTATAATTAAGCAATTTGAAAAAAAATCATAAGAACACAAAAATTAATGTAATACCGGAAGTATTGAAAAAGTAGCGGCAAAGTGATCATGTCAAAAATACAACAGGAATTTCTTTCGAACCTAATATGAAAAATGTCCTATATCATTAAATTAATTATTTACATTATTTACATTTCGGTGGACGAAAAAAGGCTTCAGTCCGAAATTCAAGTCACCTGAAGAAAGCCGAAGCGTACAACGGCCGAAACGTTATTAACATGAAAATAAAGATGAGCACAACAGTTCGAACACTGTAAATAATGTAAATAATTACAATACTTCATCCCACAAATATAAACAGACATTAAATTAATTTATAACATTTAAGATTCATCTTTATTTTTTCGAAAACGTATTGCTATCTGTGTCCCATAATTGCTGTTAAATTTGAATGTTTCTTTTGATTATGAGTTATATTTATATGGTTATGTTCATACCAATGTTTCTCTATAAAGAAACGGCTAATATTACAATTACTTTTACAATTACCATATGTCCTAGCGACAACTTCGTGGTGTTAGGTTTAAACATGACAGCAATAATTAAAAAAATAACGTGAAGTGTCTTAAAGTAAACTGATCAAAGGTAAACAAAATGTTCCAAATTGCATCTACTTTTTAAAATTTGTTTTTTATAAATACCAATAATAATAATATTAGATAATATTTTCTGGTAGTTATTTTCTAAGCGTAGCTTAGATGTGACGGATAACATTTTCTAATGGTTGCAAACTCGTTTTATATTCCTATAAAAATAGGCATATGGCTATAGAAAAAAAACTTAAACGGGAAAAAACAGCTAACAAACAACATTAAATCAAATCTGACGTTATTTTAAATGCCAAAATGGTTTAAATACACAATATTTAAATGCTTCTCTCAAATCAACGGTTCGAAGCACCGCATTAACCAAATATTTTATTTTCATTGAGTTTTTATTTTACTAATTTCCTACATGTCGCTTCGCTGAAGGCAACATGATTAAATTTCAAATCTAAATTTCTTGTCCATTTAAAATTCTACATTTATTAAAAAATATATTCACTTTAAATACAGAAGGAGTCATAAGAGTGCTTTCAAAGTGCCGCACATTTCGGCTTATAATTTTTTCCAGGGTTTTTTGAAAGAAAGAGAAATTAGTCAGTTATCCTTATTTTTTGTTCACAAATGTTATTGTGCAGCTCAGGGTAGTGGTTGTCCAGATTGAATGAGAAGGGAATGTATTATTTCAAAGATCATCGTAAACTCTGTGTGATGAACAGAGAATCAGCTCTTCTTTAATAATATAGATTATATATTTTTTTACTTAGAAATGTAACAACTATTTGGGGATAAAGTTCATACACTAACTTTAATAAATAAAATGGGACCGAGTAACATTTTAATATTTCTTCTCAGGGTTCACCGAATGAATTCAGACTGATATTTGAACTTTCATAAATCTACACAACAACGTATTCGTCGTTATTAATTAACTCTATTGAAGCTAGAAACATTCAGGAGATTAATCATTATATACCGGGTGTAACAGCAAAATTATCCAAAATGTGTAACAGCAAAGTTGTCCAATTGTTAGATTTGAACCGTTGTATCTTAGAAATGAGTAAAGATACCTTACTGGAATTCCGCGAGGATTTTATAACACTATTGGACTCTTACTTTCTAAGTTTACCAGAAAAATCGTGATGAAATCTATCATAAACGAAATGACATGTTCATCATGACTAAGGATCAGAAGCTCATGATGTATTGAAATAAAGTGCAAATATATAATATATATATATATATATATATATATATATATATATTATTCCAGGATTATTTTCTAATTTATTCAAGATCATCTTCGCCCTCGCTAACCTTCCAAATTGTTGTCCTGGAGTAACAAGCTGTCTCACATACGATTACATTTTCAAGTGTTTTTTCACTGCTCTTTGGACTATCATAGCTGAAACTTCTCTCTCACGTGCCAAGCGTCTTATGAATTCAGTTGTAGCTTATCTAATTGATCTCTTTAGCTCTAACCTCAAATTATGATCCCTCTTGCTGTTGTGACCTCCTGATCTAGTTTTCTTCTCTACTGTACCCTCTTTTTAAAACTTATTCACCGTTCTCTTCATGGTTCTTGAATGAACTTTGAAGATGGAAGCCTAAGTATGAATGTTCGTACCATTACTGAAGGCCTGGATGATCTTTCCCTCCCACCATCGCCTAGTTGGGGAGACAGTGGGTGTGACACAAAACGATTTTAAAGTGTGCTCTTTTTAACTGAATAACTCAAAGGGTCTTTTAGTGATTCTTAGGAAAAATTGTGTCAGAATGGCTAAACTTCTTATCTGAAAACCTGGGAAAATGAAACTAAATTAGTATAGTGCTTTTTTTTTTTAGATATTAAACATTTCGTGGGATAGACAATTGGGCTGTTACACGAGTTGGACAATTTGTTGGACATATATATATTATTATATATATATATTATATATATATATATATATATCATTAAAAGAAAAGGTCCACTTGTGCTTCATATAGTTTATAAAAGTGAATAGAAAATTTGGCTAATAAAACAAAGGCAGACGGAGGAGACTCAGCAACAGCTGTTCTTGTGGCTGGTGAGAATTCTGATGTAGATAGTGTTAATAGTAAAAATCCGATATCCGTCTGATTACTCGTTCACCTATCTATTCATATATATATATATATATATATATATATATATATATATATATATATATATATATATATATATATATATATAAAGTGTTTCATTGACGGATTATATATATATATGTGTTTCATTAAAATGGATCAAAGTCAGCAGTAAATTAATCACTGTTATTGGTGGAAATTTCTTTATTTCTTTATTAGATCATGTCATTTAAGTCATGGCAATTATCTGTGAAAAATAATATCGCCCAAGTGTCCGTCAAATCTGAAAGAAAAAGAAAAGAAAATTAGACGCTTAAACTTAATTCATATTTAAAATCAGTCCAAGTTACTGGAACACACTTCATATATATATATATATATATATATATATAATTCATAGATGTTCGGTATGCTTACATTGGTAGTGTAAGAATCCAAATGAAGATAATTGCGTTCTGATGATTCTGTTGCGCCGGCCTTTCAGATGCCAAGAATATGTCTACCTTGAAAATCAGTATACTTGGCTTCTATCTGTGTTCGAATATTTGTGGCAATAGAGAATGCACGTGTTTAAACAAAAAGATCTATAGTCTATGATTTTTATTCTGAACACATGAACATCTATAAATAATAAAAATATGATTAATGATCCATCATTTTTTATTTGCTTTTTTTGCCGCAATATTTATTCCCATTTACTTTCTTCCTGTTTGTCTCTCAGATTCAATTGTATTCTCTTTTAGAAAACACATTTAAATGGAATTCGTCGGCCACATCCAAGCGAATAATGTGGAACAATACTTTGCAGACGGCCGTGACCTTTTTCAAATGTCAGTCCGACAGGCAATTTTAGCGCAAATCATTGCTCACTGCAAGGGCGGGTCGCAATTCGCGTAACGTAATGTCTCCAGTCAATGACCACGCAATAAGTTTATGTTAGAGGTTAAAGCAAAGAACCTAAAGTTCGGAAGTCACACTTTTCCATCGCTGAGGTCATGAAAGCTGTTCTTCCAAATAGTTACTTGTTGGACGATGCACACTTTCAGGGGTGGGGAACATCCAATGAGGAACTGTCTAAGAATAGCTTACGAAATAAGAACACTAATCATATCTTTACTGCAAGTGATCGTCATTGCTTAAACTAATTAAAGAAATGAATTGAAATCAAACATTAATCTCTTCTAGAGAGTCTGGTAATATGTTATAATGATTTTTAAGACTAAAATTCAAACAATACAAGACTGAAGAGTCAATGAAGCTACTGTTAAAATAGAATTGTTGAATGTAGGGTGACTTGAAGAGGTTATGTTTTTGGTGCTCAGGGAAGCACCCACACGGGAGTCTGTCCCGCAAAATGGTAGTTCTTGGAAAGAAGGTGAGAGTAATTTTCTTGTATTTTGAACACCGAGGGAAAGCTGGTGTTTTCTAACATCTACCTGTTTCAACTCCATTAAGGAAAATGAGAGAAATGTAATTGAACATTTTATTCTCTTTCCAAGGCATGCTTTCATGCATTTATAGCGCTATAGGGGGTGAGGACTGGGGTTCTTCAGCTCTTTTGCTAGAACTAAACGCTAAACAGAGACTATATTTGTCTTTTAGGCCTCAAACGATGACAATGCTGTTGATTTGAACTATACTATTTGCCTAAAATCCTTACTTCCATTAATTTTCCAAATAAGTCATAAAACTTCATTTCCCTTTTACATTAGCTTCTAAAAGTTTATATTCGGAAAAAATCTATAGAAAATAAGTACAGACGAACATCAAAAAATTGTGTATTTAAAATCAAAACAAAAGAAATGTTTACAGTAGAATGATATATCTAAAAAAAATATTCAATTTATGAAAGGATTAGATTAAAAATATAGAAACAGGAATCTTTAAAAGCTGATAACTTAACCCCTTTCCACATTTAACATCTGACAGCCCCTCATTTTTAAAAATCTGATTTAGCTCCACATCTGAACTTTTTATTCTGTGGTGACGTGATTGAAGAGTCGAGTTGTCTTTCACTGCCATCAAACCCCGAATGTCAAATTTCATGACAATACGTCTTCCTACCACTGTAACATTATTTCCCTGGCCGCTGTAAATGTATTCATCTGGATTTAGGTCAAATGAAAGTAAGTCCGTGAGATGTGACAGTCATAGATTCCAGGTGACAAGTGCTTGACTTGAGGGACCTGGACACTAACACGAAACATATTCACCACTTATTATCTTCCTTCCTAAACAATAAAACATATCCACTCGAGAGGCAAAGAGCCCTCTGACTTTCAGATATCACTGGATAATTAAAGGCTTATACTTTACAAATAAAGAACATCCTGTCTGTTGTCGCCATCGTTTTTATTTATTACCGTTATCAGAGGGAGTGTGTGTGTGTGTGTGTGTGTGTGTGTGTGTGTGTGTGAGAGAGAGAGAGAGAGAAAGAGTAAGGTTGAGAAGTTGGGAGAGAGAGAGAAAAAGAGAGAGAGGGATGGAGCTCTCATATTGCAAGCAATAATCTTATGAAGGTCAATTGGTTCATTTAAAACAGCAGCGCAGTTGTATATATTACCAGAAAAATTGGTCAGTGAATTATCATTAATCATATTGCGAACAACTAACTATAATAAATAATTATTATTAATAAATTATGAAAAATGCAGTGGATTATTTTTGTTATATGAATTCAGCAGCAGAATATTTCATTATCTCAAGTACGCAATATTGGGTCAAAGCAGACGGTTTTTTAATATAAGGACCTCCAGAAAATACCTAAGGGATAAAATGAATTTAAAAAAATGAAAAATATTTCTTGAAGCTTTTGTTTTACCTTTAATTTCAATCTAATAGATTAAATTTAATATTTCCAATAAGCAAAAATACTCTGCTGTATTTCAAAAACTAATTTAAATTGATTGGAAGGATTTTCTTTTTTTTTGCTAAAATAGCTGATTAATACCCTTTTTTTAGTCGCCTTTTATTACAATGTAATTCTCTTTAATAAAAAAAATCTTACAAAAATAGAATATACATTTCTAAAACTTTATTTGAGGAAAGTGAGCTCATTTAAATTATAATTAATCTGATTTGAAATAAATATTATTTATTTTAAGTTTAAAATATCAGAATCATTATATATATATATATATATATATATATATATATATATATATATATATATATATATATATATATATATCTTCAACCTCTGAACTGAAAATTGCGCCACTGACATTTCTTCTTGGATCAAACCCGACATGGACGCTTTCATCCCTTGTTGGAAATACCAGGTGAAACCGCAAACCTCTCTATGGTTCACACCAGCATGCTCGCCCGTCATAGCACACAGGAAACACTATTTCCGGCTATATCAGCGTGACATAGGTGGCTATTTGCTTCTGTTCATAACAAATGTAAGTGATTCCTCGAAGGAGATAAGTCCCTGTTTGCTGAAAGAATAAGGAACCACATAGCCTTTAAAAACTTTGGCTGTCGTGACTACTGGCGTCTCTGTAATAAGTGCAAGGTCTCAATTCTAACTTCTTCAATCGATTTGATGTGTTATCATCCTCTGCTTTGCCCTTAAATTCTTTTCAAACTCTACTTTTAATTCATCAGGAGTATCCCTGCATAACTTCCCACTTAGAACTGAGTCCTTATTGAGTGATATGCATATAAACTTTTCTATGGTTTCTGCTATCATCTTTAATCTTGATCCCCACAAAGCATGTAGACTCGGTGGCATCTCTGTAATAGTCATTAAGAAATGTTCTTGTTCTCTCTAAACTTTATAATAGATGACTCGTTGCCTCCTGCTTTCCTGCTTGCTGGAAGTCATCGTCTGTTTCAGATTTTAAGAAATCTGGTGAACCGTTTGACCCGTCCAACTATAGAATTCTTAACCTTCTGCCTCTTTTTGGGGAACTCCTAATCAATTCTTAAGTCGTTCTTACCAAATCGTGAAATGAAACTTGTCCTGAATGGCCACTCGTCTACATACATTCGCACTAACGCGGGTGTTTCTCAGGGCTCCATCCTTGGTCCTATGCTGATTTAATCTTCATTAACGACCTTTCCGATGACATCAGCCCTCAAATTGACATCTACGCTGACGACACTATCACATTCTACACTCCTGTCTCGTTAGTAAGGTTGATCAGTCCGACAAGGTCAAAATGGCAGCTGATGCGCAAAAAGAACTCAAGGCCGTCGTTAACTGGGAAAAAAAGATGGTTTGTCAGTTTTAACACATCCAAAATTAAACTTCTTTCCATTAATCATATGAGAGACCCCTCTCTACCTTCCATCAGCATGGCTGATGCTATCCTCCAAGAAAGTGACTTATTGCATTTTCTCGAGTTCAAGTTCTCAGCTGACATGCGATGGAAGGACTACATTGAATTCATTACTAGATGAGCTGCTAAGAAAATCCGTTCACTGTGTCGGGCGAGACAATTTTTTCTCTTGCATATCTATGTCTATCATTTGTCCATGCTTAGAACATTGCTGCCATATATGCTCCGGTGCCCCTACCTTTTACCTGGAGATTTTTGATAAGATCCAAAGAAGAATCAGCAATATTATGGGTCCTGATCTGGCGACTCGGCTTCAGTCACTTGCCGGACGCCATTTTTTTTAATAAATACTTTTATGGTAATTGTTCGGGTGAGCTCTTCGCTATGGTAGCTAAACTTTGTGAATTTAAGCGCAATACTTGATTGACGGCGAGATCTCATTAATTTACAGTTGAGTTAGCTACATATAGCCGTAGCTACTATGCTAACAGCTTTTTATCTTGCAATTTTCGATGTGGAACCCCCTTCCGGTTCCATGCTTTCCAGCCAACTTTAATCTGCAAAAAAATAAAATTCAATATTAATCGCTATCTACTGTTCTCCTGATTGCTCTTTTTTATCTTTCTCCTCATTACTAATGTTTGTTTCTAATTCCTCCACATCCTATATATATATATATATATATATATATATATATATATATATATATATATATATATATATATATATTCAAACAGGTTTGGTTAAATAATTTAGACATATCCTGTCGATTAGTTTTTGTTGTGATCCTTTCAAGTTCGCGGATTAATTTATCGGTAATTCTTGGTATTTTCTTGAACTTTGAAACCTAGAACGCTCCATAAACAGTAAAAACGGACAGTTGAAATGCTTTGAACTTACAGAAATACGTATACATACTCACAAACAACTTAACCTCCTGAAGATGGTCTCCGATAAGATTGAAAGTACTTAGGAAAATAAAAACTATTTGAAAGAAAATTTTGGTATTTTTTTAAGGCTAGCAAGAAATTAATCTGCGAATTTTAAAGGTTCACAGCGAAAACTAATCGTCATATGTCTACATTATTTAACCGAACCTGTTTGAATAAAAATATTGTGCCTATATATATATATAGAAATTTCAACTGTCTCTTTCAGATCTTAAGTATCTGTCCTTGTTTCCATTTTTCTAAAACGTCATCGTTGCCCTCATGTTCGGTCCGTGGATTTCTCAGCATCCTTCTGTAGAACCCCATTTCTGTAGCTTCAAGACTCTTCATTATTGAGGAGATTGTCCAGTATTCACTGCATTATAGGAGGACTGATATTACGTAACAGTTTAGTAGTCTTTCTTTTTGATTCTAACGAAATTTTCATGCTTCTTAAATCTTTCTTAAGCTTTTGGAAGGCATATTTCACTATCTCAATGCACCTTCGGATTTCAGTGTCAACTTTTCGTTCTCTCTTAAAACACTTCTCAGATATTTCATTGTTTGATTTTGGTATACCTAATTTGTAATTTGCATGTTGGTCTGTTCCTTTTTGCTAAAAACCATGCCTTTTGTCTTCTTGCAATTGATGCTTAGTCCTTTCTTCTCGCTCTCCTT